GAGCTATAAAACGCTTATCCCTACAAAAGAGCATCAAGGAGGGAAGAATTGGAGAGATCTATAAAGCAAGGAYATTTAACGCTAGCTCCAACGCCCTTGCAAAATGTATATATTTTTTTATGAAACTGTAGTAGTAAAATTCCTGTTTGTTTTCATATTAATTTCACTTTGACTTTAACTAGTTTAAATCTGTAACTCAGATGCAGMTTCATCATAACAAGAAATCTCAAAAAAAGTTATTTAACTTTTCAAAGTATTAAGCTACTTTATCTGATAATCTCATAAATACAAAAATGGCTCTTCAGTAGCGATAGTTTAAGCTGCGTCAGGACAACATCGAACGGAAGAGGCAAAAACACATTTGATTTCCAAGTAGTTGTGAAATAGTGAGACGAGGTCGACTCGGGTCATAGATCAACCACCACAATTATACATTTTATTCATCTATTAAAATGGCTTACTTTTGTCCGGAATTATTTTGCTCAAACCTCCCCAACCTTTCATTTTACGACGTCGTGTGAGTTAAATGTCAATCACTCTCGTGTGTTGATTTTGTTCTATCGAAACAGCTAAGTCAAAATATTCATTTTGTTTAGGGGAGGGGTGTTTGGTAAAATTCTGCAATTAAAATTGCTTTCAGTGGTTTAGTGTTTAGTTAACAGCGAAAATGTCTCCGGAATTCTTTAATTTGTGTGCAAAATGATATGCTTTGCTGGAGAACGAGAAGATATGAGCAGTTCAGGTTCTTTAAGCTTTTTCGTAAACACGTTAGGACTTAAAATCCGAAGAGAAAGATATTGGGGACAGGTTTTTTATTTTATTTATATATGTAGTGTTGACATAAAAACCCAGATACCTTCATTAAAACCAAGCAAAGAAAAAAATCCTTGCTGATATTGCATCAGGTAATGATCTGAAACCTAATAGAAAGAACAGGCGAAATCCCTTCGCAAGGCAATTTTCAAACGGAATGATCATAGGGAAAATGTCTTATACCAGGGCATGTTCAATTCAGTGTCAATGGGGGCAGAAGGAAAGCCATACTTTTCTAAACATTAAAATAACGTTATTTCGGCAATAGTCATTGACGGAATTTACTTCCCCCATGCGCGTCCTCCGTCCACGTGTACAGAAAAGTATTGAAAAGGACTCGATAGGGAGAAAACGTTGGACATATGTGTGTTCTATGTCTGTATCTTGGTCAATACCGATATTGTTAACTAATTGTTTATAAAGAGAAGCACACTAGTGACGAGGAATTTACAATGTCCAAAAYTAGGAACATTCACTTAAGTCAGTTGGATATACAACTCATAACTTCGACTTAAGAAAAGCTCAGTGCATTAAAACGTGAAGCACTTTAACATGCGATTTTCTTTTATCTTTGGCATGGATTAAAGAGAGTTATTATTCGAAAGCATTGTAAAATGATGATAAAACTGGGTATAGAACTAAATTTGTACATTGTACAACGGCGTTTTCGATTAGACGGGGACTCGATGAAGATTATTGTGTTGATCGGGCGATTTATTAAAGAAAAGCCGACTGTTAAGAATTATCGACAATAAATTTTTGTTTCTTCATTCGAAATAATGTGAAAATATAGCTTTCTCACCTTAACTTGATACCGCCTACAGACAGTCAAAGGATTGGCTCTTATCCACCATGGATTGGGGCAGTGAAAACGACGAAGTAAAAGACACTTCACACCTTCATTTACCAACCAACGTCGTATTAGACCAGACCCAACATTTTTTTGGGGTAAAATGTCGGTGTAAGATGGTTTTGAGAAAACTCTGTCCCACTCAAACAAGCAAAATCCGCCGTTTACTATCGAAGGTTGATTTTGGCTCTCTATAGTTCGCGATGCGACACCGCACACTGCACGACCCGAAATTTATTATCCAATCAGAATCAAGAACCAATAGAGCTCGCCGACGTTACGGGTAGTCTCTCTATACATACGAAGTCACGAACGTTTGTAGATATTTTGAACGCCCTTAAAACCATTCAATTTCGGTTATAATGAATTTATGTATTTTTTTAGAATACAAAGGTATGTGTTTTGTTTTAACAGGAGGATTCTTGGTGGTTTTCTTTATATCGTGACTTGATATAATGAGATGGGTGATTTGGTACAAGTAATTCATAGTCATTGATATCCTAGAGGGTTGTCAATCATTCTTATTACGAGGTCACGAGAACAAAAAAATAAAAGATGAAACAACCGTCATATTCTTATCCACAAGAAACTGTCCTTCGCAAATTAAATTTTCTATTCAATTCATTTTGAGATTTTAGCCCAGTAATTCAGTGCATGCTTGCTTAGTTATTTGTTTTGTTTTCAAGCGTCACGTACAGTGGGCTAGCAGTATCTAATAAATGTTTACTGATACAACTTGAACTAATCCTGCCAAATTAACTTGAGTTTCTATTCAAATTTTTTTCGCATTTGATAAATTTGAAATATTCCCATGTATTAAGATTWATAAATAGACGTTCTGTGAGACAATATCAGTCGTCCGCTAACAATCACTAATAGTTCGTGATCTAGCACTCCCTCACGCTATTGTCACGTTCGCTTTGAAATATCACGATATGGCGCCCACGGTCTTTTGAAGCGGGATAAAACCAATGGAACATGCGCTCTTTGTAATAATATTCAAAATAGTGGCATTTTGATATGAAGTGTGTGTGTATGATCATAGTTAGTAGAGGTACTAACTATGGTATGATCGACCATTAATGGCTTGAATATCAACCAAGAAAATGACTACCTCAGCAGCTTAAACATGACAAAATATTCATTTTTGACATTCATTTTAAGAGGATCTTATCAGATTTATGACGACCTTTTTTGGTCCACSGATCAAACCACAGCAGCTGGAAAACACGGCTTGAACTTGATGTTCAGCTTATGTCCCTGGTCTAAGCTTTATAGTACTTGTCTAAASATTTGATGCGATGATGAGGATTTGAGCGTTGCCGCATAGATTCCTTTTTCCCACTGTTTACATGCATTATAAGCTTAAAAACGTCTTTAAAATTGCCAGGAAATTGCTGCAACAATGCTATTTTGTACAACAAAGCATGGTGCGATTTGGAATCCTCGCATAATTATACCTCCGACTCAAAAATCTCCCTAAAAGCATCTTTTATGTTTTGTAGAAGTGACACAACTTCTTCTATTGTGTAAAGATCTGTTTCTTTTCGGAAATGACGTCGGAGGAGCCCCATCTTGTTTTGATGCACAATATAGCATCGATGAAGTTAGTCCATACAACTGTCGTGCGAGTTTTTAAATCGTTCCGTGAAAATACATCAGGTATTTATTTGAATAGCGTCAGTTTTGTTATTATATAAAAATACTATGTATGTGCACGTCCATCTATAGTACCGTAAGAATATTTATCATATATTAAATAATCTATGAAATACTATATTTCTCCATTTTTGTAAAGTTGATATTTTCACTAGTGAAATTTTCACTTAGTGAAAATTATATGATAAATAGAATATTACATAATCGCTTGGAGATACAAATTTTATCTTCTCGTATTGAAAATCTCTAATAAAATTGAAGGTAAAATCCGTATCTCTGCGCACCCATGTACATGTAACATCATCTATTTATCATATAAACTTGATATTTTCATAACATGTATAAGGTTAAAATCTAATTTATACATTATATTTTATTTCACTTGCCAATTTTATCTAGTTATTTAGTGAAAATAACACATTTGAGGTTTCTCTATATAGTGGAAGTAAGAAAACAGCTATTTAATGACCATAATTTGCTTTCATATACTATTATATGACAAATAGAATATWACATGTTCGCTTATTAGAGGTACGAATTTTATCTTCTCGTGTTGAAAGTCTCTCACTGGTTCGCTATGCTGACACTCTTRAGAGATCTTTTCAACACTCGTATATAAAATCTGTATCTCCATGCGCCCATGTAATATCCTACACAGGTACACAAACTTAATATTGAAGAATAATTTTTCATAGTGCTCAACTTAGATGTAAAAGGAGCAAATTTGTTTATAGCTGTAAAATATATATTTTATATATATATAGGATTTATTCACCGCAGTTCAAACCTTTACTTCATCATATATAAGATAATATCATGATTGACTGTTGATTTTCTCTATTTTCTAGAAGAATTAAATGACATTAATACCATTTAGGTATTCAGTTTTAAAATATTTCCACATATAGAATGCAGTGTTTTTCATAAAGACTAATGGAAAGCAAATTCATTAATTTGTGATATAACACAACAAGAATACATCAATTTCAGCCACAAAGAAACTTTCAAAATATTTGTTCATGTCAATTTGTTTTGAATAGAAACTATATGATAAGGTGTTACGCTATAAACAAATTGATATACCATTTGAAGTTGATTAGTAGAAAGTTTGCGCAAAATGCAGCAAAGCTCCAAATCCTAAAAAAAATCAAAACTTTGAGKTTTTTTTCTGTAAATTCTTCTGTACTTCTCAGAAAGTTATACTTCTGAAAATTCAATAAGTCTAAGAATCAGACCAGGTTGATAGAGGCCTCTAAAGTGGTAATTGAAATTTATAAAAAGAGTCTGTTTAGTGTGATGCTAGTTATACTAGGGACTGATTATAAGAACGGTGAATAGTCTGGTCCAGATAAAAATTTATACAAAAGATGTAATCCATACAGAATCTATCATTGGAATGGATAACTTTATCCACCATTCTTACAACAGACCCCTGGTGATAACAGTTGGCTTTTCTATAAGAGAGTTCACTTGAGATAAGTAGCTTCCTGTTATCTGATTTCTGGTGTTGAGTTAAAAACGTCTCCTTCAGTGATGTCTGCTCAGGGGGAACTAACTGAGCCTTTCTGCAAAAAACAATCATTTCTGCATGATGTTGGTTTGCTGGGAAAGACAATGCATATTGACAAACTTTAAGAATTCCCTGATGCTTTGAATAAAAAATACAAGTAAATCATCATAATTTAGCATTTGCTCTGGCAATTACACTACTACTATACAGTATAGTATGTAATAGCCTGTAATGGCCTTACCAGACAAGAACAAATTTATTTATTTCACCACTGTTAATTAATTTATTTTTTTCCTTTTTTGGACCATCATTCATTTTATTAGTCTCCTCACAACCGTGTTTAGTTTTGGTCATGTGTCACGCAACCTTGTGTTGTCACACCTGTGAGGAGATTATCATTTTAAATGGTAATCATATATGATCTCAAAACTCTTTAATAATAGATTTTGGCCTAGTACATTTTAGGTGTTACCTTATTCATAACCAAATTAATTAATTATTAAATAGTGATAAAATACTAATGAAATCCAGACAATGTATTTGGCACAATGTATTCAGTGAGCATTACTGCTCTTCAAACTCAAAGACCATATTTTGTCTCGGCAGCTATCAAGAAAGATTAAATAAACCTTAAGCCTAAGAATTACTTTCACTAAGTTTGCCAATTGCTTCTGCAAGCATTTTGTTGCACATTGCTGCATATGGATTGCACTGGATTGCCATTGATTTAGCAAACRTATTGCCAAGTCTGGCACCAGCCTGAAAGTCCTGTAATGCTGCATCATCATTCCCTTGTAGTTTGTTTATTAGCCCCCGTTGAGTATATGCCTGGCCAACTGCTTGGCCATGTTGCTCTAGTTCTATTGCTTTGTGGAGATCCTTTAGGGCATTATTAATATCACCTGCAAAATGTATAATGTAATAACCTTGTCAGTAAAATAGCATATGGTGCTGTCTTGATACCTATCTTTTCAGGGGTGCATTTTTGGGGAACACAGGGTGCCCATGACCCCAATTTACATTTTTTACAAAAACAGAAATATGACTGCAGTTGATGGATTGTGGAAATTAGGTAAGGCTTAACTTAGTAAGAGTTAATTACCGAAAATGGAGACARTAAGCAATATAAATCCAGAAGGCAGTACAACCAAGGGATGTATGTGGCTTATTGCACCTATCAATGCTTTGCTCCAACAGTGGGAGTATGGGCAACAGCCAATAGTCCTGCCCATCATGATTGTGTCTGTATATGTCAATACAGTACTTACCCGCTTATAAGAACCCATTTTTTTCAAATTTAGCCTAAATAGGTTCTTATTTAAATGGTGCTTAGTGGAATTTTAGACTACGCAGGTTCTTAAATATAGGTTCTTATATGTCCCTTATGTAATGAAAATTTACAAGGTTCTCAAACATAATTTACCAAATTTAGAAGTGTATGTACATGTTCAAGTTCATTACAGTTTCAGTATGTTTTTTTTACATGAAGAGTTTTGAGGTTAATTTCTATAAGAACCTTTCTATAAGAACCTGTTTCAAATTTTAGGCTWAAGACACTCTTATGTAAGCTTAAATGGGGTCTAAATTGATATTTTTAGGCTAACAAGAAGTTCTGGTTACGGCCCTGAACATTACATTCTCAAATTCCACCATTATTACTCTATAAACTCTATTTCACCATACCTTTAAGTCTCCAAAGTTGTGCCCTATTATTATATCCAGAAGATCGAGAACCCGCTATTTCAATAGCCTTATTGAAACACTCCATAGCACCATCGTAGTCTGCCTGCTCTGCTTTTTCTACGCCACACATTTCGTAATGTTTGGCCTGTTGCAGGTTAATACCATTACAATTCTCCTCCTCGGGCAATTCATCTCTTACGTTCTCTGTAGTAGTTCCTAAAGGCATATAGGGATTAAAAATACTTTCCAAAACTGCCTTGTCTTTATTCCACGTATGGTCAGCCATATTGGATTGGTACTGATACACAGGAAACCCAACGTACTCCGAGCAATACAAACGATAGACCGATAGACAACGATCATACTCATTAATTATTCATGAGCTATCCAACCAATCCATGATTGCAATTTGTACGTACCACGTGCAGTAACTGGATACCAGAGGAAGTACTCCYACCTTGTATTCTATCTTATTTCCAGTTACTTCCAACTTGTTTCCAGTTATCTTCTACCTTATTTCCAGCTACTTCTACCTTGTTTCCAGTTACTTCTAGCTTTTTCTAACTAGAGTACAAGCAATAGAGTGCAAGCAATATATCCGTGCAACACTAAATTAAAATAGTGAAATTTAGTAAAATTTAGTGAAAAATAGTCGAAGCGTAAATGTACTAAATTTAGTGTGCAAGTGCAATTTAGTTGAGAATTGCACGTGCGTTTATGCACAAACGTACAAATATTGTTAGTAAATGTTAGATGCTACTTGTGCTTTTATATGATAAAAAAACTATTCGTTTACAAATGTGGTATCTGTGATCTCATCGGAATGCATCAGTCTAGGCATCAGAAGTACGCGCATGTTCGGATCACATGGAGCTTCGAGTAGTATGCTTACGAAACTGAATTCTAGCRTTAGACAGTCTTGTTTGGGCAAAGATTTCAAATTAGAACAAGAAGACTAACTTTGTTTATCAATAACAAAAAGGCAACTTTGATTATTTTATAGGAATCTTTTATTTTTTWAAGTATTYATTTTCTTAGCCTGAGAGGTCAACAATTTGAAATTAAAAACGTATTAGATATGATGATWTCACTTAGCGACATTTAGTCTACCACGTTTGATTTTATCAGTTCAGTTGTAAAGGTATAATACACTCTGTTCGCAGRGTATTAATTACATGACCTTTTAGATCAAATTTAGATCGTTTTGAAGTCGTTGCAGAGAGCAGTCAAAAAGAATATCGTATCGTGTGAATAAACGGTTTTAAACAGTACATTAATTAAAGTGAAAGTAACGCATTCTTGCTTTCACTATGTATTAGAATTAAGAATATATATATTCTACGCCATAATTTATACATTCATAATATAATCAYATGATTAGACAGAATATAACATCATAATCTTATCGTGTTTAAAACCTCTCACTCGTTCTCCTATACGCGCATCCATGTAATATCCAGTCTCCATCAATTTTCATAAATAGCTAGTCCGACTTCACACTCAAGGAGCGTCTAGTTGTGATTTTTTATAAACCCAAAATGCATTGCCTCCATTTTACAAAGGAAACCCAAAATTTTAATTCGATTTTAGAAAGAAAAATCCCGTGACGACCATAAGTTGATGCAACTGCTTTTTTTGAATCAATGCTTTATCCCTAATTATGGAAAGAGTCTCAGTAACTGTACCAGCAGTTTCTCTAAAGGTAAGAAATTTTGATTAATTTATTGTTAGCTTATAATAAGCTTCAAAAATTTGAAAATTTTCACGGCAGAACTTTGTCAGTGGCGGAATTTCCGGCTTCTTATAAACCCCGTTTAGAGTAAGCTTATAATAATTCATTTCTGATTATCTGTAACTTTTTCTGTGATTCAAGTCCATGCTCAAATTTGCTTTATATATAAACAGAAATTCTGATATAAATTATTTGACCGTAAATGAGTAAATGTGCTTTTAAGCATGAAATGGCTTGTGCCGGGGAGTACTCGACCCCGTTTTGGATAGGTACGTGCCGCCAGTTGTCTAAAACCCTCACCCTGTTTAAAACACTAGAAAGTGAAAATCCATACCCTGTTCAAGACAAATTGGAAAAATAAGAAATAGCTATCTACGCCGCAACCATCAAAACTGCAATTATGCGTCTATCAGCGGCTTCCCCCTGGGGGCGACCCCCGTGGACCCAGGGGGGTTTGTCAAAATGCTCCGTAATGAAATTCCCATGGGTGAGGGGCAGAATAGGAATGACAAATGTCCCCTGGGATGGGAAGGGGAGATTTTTGGGAAACTATCAGAAATGAATTTTTTTCGAACTGCAACACTGTAATTGAATGCTTTTGCTACATTTTGTAAATAGCAATGGGTCATTTTTTTTTCTTAAATGAAGCTGGAAATGTCGTCAAGCATACTGCTGATACTGCTGACCAGTAGCAAATATCCCCAGGGTAGGCCCGTGGAGAAAATTCACGATCACAAAAGCGAAATAACCCCTTACCCCCTTGAGCAAAAATAGGCCTTACAATCAGTAAAAATCCCCCTCACTTCCCCTGGGTTCCCCGGGGGAAGCCGCTGATAGACAATAAGTCAGACGTTTTTGATAACACATTAATCCTGGTATAGTGAAACGGTATTTCTAYTATTTCTACGGTATTTCTTATGAAAATATTACTCTKTCCAAGACACACAMAAAAAAWTATATYGGTCTTTTATCTAAATTGTAGAGCCTGTTTAAGACAATTTCGGGTGAAATGTATTCCCTGTTTAAGACAGCAAGGCCAAAAACCATACCCCCTGGCCARCGGCAAGACTTTCTCTTTTTTTCTTTTTTCTTTAATAATTAGTATAAACATTTTGATGAATAAAGATTGATTTTTAAAGCCATTTTAATATTCGCTCCCCCCCTCGTAAAAAATATATATGTAATATATAAAAAAGGCTTTAAAATCAATCTTTATTCATAAAAATGTTTATACTTATTATTCTCTGCGAAGGAGACTACAACTTAGGTAAAGACCTGATTTCRTACAGTGGGAGGAGATTGGGAACAAGTTGCACAATGGGCCTGTAGTTTTCCACCAATGTGAAGCAAAATCAGGCGACAACTCAAACATTAACTTTTTTGGTGAGCTTGTTTATTTACTTTTTGCAATGTGAGGAAATTAATTTTTATTGGCTAACAAAGTCATACTTTTGACATGACTTGGAATTTTAGTTGATTTGAGGGCTGCAGCAAACATGCTGCATTGACAAAAAAAATTGTGCCAAAATTTTTCTAATGATATTCCTTATGCAACTATAAAGTACTTGAAAAGTAAGTGGTGAGCTGCATTTTTTTCTGGAAATGTTACAGTTTGCTGTTACATCATAATTAGGTTATATGTAACTTTGGTCATACCGGAATAAAGTGCTACAATTAGATTAAATGAGTCACCTSTAAAAATGTCATTGAGATTCATGAAAGAATGACAATATATACTGAGTATATAAAAAAATATTTCATTTTAAGGCTCTAACACCCCTGCTTTAATATTAGTCATGATATTATTAGTATAGTAGATACTAGTCAAACAAACATCAGTATTAATTACTATAGTGTGTGTSTTTCATGGACAACACAGAAAACCCATATTATTAGTATTAGAATAATCTCTTTCAGACTTTCTGATCTGGGATGCTAAACATTCAGCTTTTCACATCTTGATTAAAAAATAATATTAATATAATAAACTTTTGCTTGGGGATAAAGTAGCTCAAGTTTGAAAGTAATATCAACAGATTTGATGGCAGCAATGTGCTTTCAAGAGTGGATTGATTGGTTCAGAATCATTGGATTTCAAAGGCAGGGTCACACGTGACCGAAACTAAACACGGCTGCGAGGAGACTACTTTGTATTCTGTAATACCACTTTTAATTGGAAACCTGAAAACTGAGGCATCTTTAAAACAATGTATCTTTCCTAACATAATTATGTACATACAGTTCAATTTCAACAAAAGACCTAAATACCATATTATGATTTCCATTATCATCAACCTGATCAAAATGATAATTAATAATTGTTCATTGTTACAATGGTTTGTTTTCTAGCTTATTATTGGAGTGCACTTTGTACTGACAACATGGTAAGTAACTTATAACTTTATTAATAATTATTGACATACATGCAAGATAATTATTATACACTGTGTAGTACTGCAAACACAARAGAACTGTTGGTGATTGGCGTTTGGTTAGGTCTAATCGACACAATTTAACAACACAGACTTTGTGTCTAAAAGCCCTGTGATCAATTCCCAGACAGGGCTGTTGCTAGCTTATAGTTCTAATTAGTGACTTAATTATTAATAGTAACCATCTACCAACTGAAGCACTGTAACATTAATGCACAAAGTACAAAGAAAGTTGAATACACAAAACAACACTTCAATTGAACTGTTCCAGTTGGGTAATTGTGACTATTTAATAAGTGACATTTTATTTCATGTACCACGACATTTGTAAATGTGTAAGCACTCTTCATCTTAATTTGCTGAAATTGTTTACTAATATCTTCACAGGGCTACACTTGCAACCCCTCTACCATCGTCATATGTATTTAGTAATTTTATATTGGTGGTTGTTGGGTGCTGGGCCATAGCTGATAGAAATGGCACTGATGCAATTGTAATGGTAGGATTATATTTTACTTCTCTATATAAGGCTGCAAGATTATTCAGCTACTTTGCTCCAAAAACAGGCAATATTATCTTCTTCTATATATCCATTGTAAGACCATTTTTAGAGGCTAGTTTGTCTGGTTGTATTTGTATATCACATTAGAGGGMGGTGAAAGGGTGCTCCYSCCTCTAAATAGCCTGTGTATATCCGTTTCTCACCCCTCATGAGAAACGGATGTACACAGGCTATTTTCAATGACTTTCCATGTCACTATAAACAAACATCCATGACTTTCCAGGCCTGGAAAACCAAAATACGAAATTCTATAACGTACAAACCCTTTAGAGGGTAGCCTGTGTACATCCGTTTCTCACCCCTCAAAAAATCGGAAATCTCCCCGATTTTTTGAGGGGTGAGAAGCGGATGTACACAGGCTACATTGAAAATATTCTTGTTTGTCATTGTATAATTATGAGTACTATTTCCTGAATAAAGTTTTAAAAAACAATACAATGTATGTAATAAACAATAAACTAGTGCTGATCAATTGGATGCTGCCAAATTACAACCTGTTGAAGGTGACATGCATGAATTGTCAGTATTTTATGAATTGGCTTTCTATATTTTGGCTATTGTCAACAATTTAAAAGTCATGGAATTTGTGAGACCTGTGAAATGGTACAAACCTTGTGTTGAGTCCGTGCATCTTAACCTCACATTAAATAAAATTTAGTTGTTTCATAAATAAATAAATAAATATTGTAAAAATAATAATTATCTCATTTGCATTTGCAACTAAAGATTGGTAATCTTTTGCAAATAATAAAAAAGTTTCAAATTTTTTATGCTTAAAGGAGGGGCTACAGCCTCTTTTGCACCTCCCTGGATCCAGCCTTGTGAATCCTCTCAAACAATTAAGGCAGTCATGTGACAATAATATCTCACTAATCCTTATCCTTTAAGTCGTCTAATCTTATATATACCTTTTGTTGTTTCGGCAGTTCCTTTTAGGAATGATATTCACCATCATTAGTGACATTGTTGCTATTGCTGTTTACTACACAACTTTAGGTAAATATCAAATACTYCATATTATATCTTTGCATTTGAGTTACAGCAGAAACCGATAAGGGACTTGAAACTTGTAGCTCTGTGCCATCCATTGGAACATTCAAATCTAATTTGCATCTCATTCAGTCCTTATTTGGAACAATTCCATTTACCCTAGCCAACCAGAACGGGCCATATATCTCTTATCCAACGGCGGAATTTTCCAAATATGGTCATAATGTTCTTTTCGATTTTTTAATGAKCTTTAAATATTCTAATGCTTGGTACTAAAGAAATGTATGGGCGCTACACGTTTCAAGTCCCTTTGGCTTCCTGTCTAATATTGCTATCCTCCCCCCGACAAATCTGTTTATTTATGCAAATATTAGTCTAAAAGCAATGAAGTGCGACAGTCGAGCTTGTGTGACTTGTCAAAGTCGCATAAATTATATCAAGCGAAGACTGAGCATTCGCTGTTTACCAGAAATAAAAAATATTTTCTGCCAAGATTGGAACGCAAAGCCTATAAAAATTACAGCAACTATTAGGTAAAGGATTGAGCTATTAATACAATGAGAATAACAGAAATCTCTGGAGCCCTTTTGAAGAAAATGGACTTTTTGCAATTTTTTAACAGGCCGTACAATTTTAGCTTTTATTCATCTCCAGTAAAAATATTGTAACTCTTTTAATTTGAAAATTATAGAACTGAAATTTACACACACTAATTTTGATAAATTGATGTATTGCAAGATCATTGCATTCGGTTGTATATTTATTTCTATTCGGCTGTTTATTCTATGTAGGTCATATTTTGGGCTTATTTTTGAGCCGTATCCATATCTTTATTTCAGCCCGAGTTTTTCTAACCAAATTCACAGACCTTATGCATTTTGATGAGATATATATACAAATTCCGAAAATTTCAAGATGATCCGTGTGTTAGTTTTAGAGTAAATCATCAAAAACTAAAATTACCACTGTTTAAATATGCACTATATCTTTAAAACCAGCCAATAAATTACTAAATACTTATAACTGACAAAAACTACAATAATCACAGTGTGTTGTATTAAAATTTCAGCACGTTTGCCTAAATACTTTTGCAAAGCGAGCGAGTTAAAAAAGTCCAAATTTGCATTTCATTAGTTGTGATTCACCTTAATTGTATCATTTTCAGACAACTCAACATACAGATTCTCCATTGGGTATCCTTGATATTCATGGTCATGATCATTATTGACGACTAGCTTGTGAATGATGTTTTCAAAAGTACAAACTAATGGGRTTTTTTTTGCAGTTTGATCCAGATATGTTTTGAAATTTGAAAAATTAATAATCATTACACATGATTCAATAACCCTCTCTGAGATGTTAATAATGGCCCTCTCTGTCCTAGATGCATTTCTGCAACTTATAATATGTTTTTCTTATAGACATGCTGATTGCTTTGACATTAAAGGAAAATTTCATCTTAAAGTCATTTATTCAGGTTTAAACTAAAATCGTCAGTCCTTTACGCACATAAAACCTGCAGGTAAAGGACTAAAGATTTTAGTTTGAACCTTAATCAATGACTATATGTTAAGATGAAATATGTTTTTCTTTCTTTCTCTTTAATTAGTCTATTATTTTATAAATGTGATTGGTCAAAGAGTCAGTTATATAAATATTATAATCACTTTCATTATAACTAGCTATAGCTTCATGTTTACTAGTAAAGAACTGCATAGACCCTCTTTTCTCAATTACTATGTTATTATAATATGTAAAAGTAAAAATCTAATGTGCACGTGATTCCGCGAGTGCAAGTGAATGACAAAAAGAGGATCCAGTTCTGCATGGACTACAATTTTTTACACACTTTTTTCCTTTATTTTGATAAGAATGGCAATTTTGAATCTAATTCTTAAGGTAAATACTCAGTATGTGTTTCAAAATGTTAGATGTTATAGGGACTGTGCAATATTTATCTGGAGGGGAGAGGAGAATTCAGAGGCAGGCAAAATCTAATTTTATGTGCTTAAAGAGGGAGGGAACTTAGAACTTTAAGTGGAAACTGACAAATCAGCGGTGTCAGATTCTGTGCTTTTTGAACTTTTGTAGTTTTTTGGCGAGCTCATTTCTCAACCCCCCAATATTGCGCAGTTCCTTATAGTCTATATTAAGATTACGTCCAAGAAATACGCGATATAAAAAACGTTAACTTGCTGTGCAAAATTTTTGGTGTTCAAGTTTAGTCTCGTTGTTTTCGTTTCGACACTAACTTTGAAGRAAGACAACTTCGTGAGACAAGTTGAGGTTTATTATATTGGGTATTTCTTTGCGTTTAAGAGATTTGATGTCATTGAACCAAGGCATTGTGGTGTGAGGAGGGGGGGGGGACTGTGAGTGATTCACTTACAACTGCAACATTTAATCGCCTTTCTTTATGAAAGCTGACTCTGAATGGTTTTGTGCCTTTTCCTTGGCACTCGTCCCTCATAGCCAACTGGATTGTTGTCGCAATGTCTTTGTGCAAGTACATGTATCCACCCAGCGCAAATTGCAGGCAATAATTAATAAGATTTATAAATAATCCATTAACTATTTCAGCCTTTGTTTTGTGTATGTGTTTTTATGGAGTTCCGTAACAGAGGTGGAGAGGTTGATACGAAATGGGCAGGTAAATGATTGTTCTATGTAATATTCAGTTGTGTAAAAAGATAAATTTAACACTGACCGTAAAAAAGTAGGTTAAACAACTTAGTGACGTTTCGGCCTCCTCCGCAGGCATCACTAAGAATCTTCCTGTCAAAAGAGGGAGAATGGGAGCGAGAGAGAATTTCCCAATAAAACTAGACTATTTAATAGCATCTTTTCATTTTTTGTGATTGAATATTACACAATTGCTTGGAGATGCGGAGTTTATCTTCTCGTGTTGAAAATCTCTTATCCTTCGCCATGCCTACTCATGAAGGACTGATCTTTTCAACAATCGAAGACAAAATCCGTATCTCCGCGTGCACATGTATTATATCCTCCATCTATTAGATTATATAGTTTGACGTCCCWCAGTGTTGCTAATTTTCTTTATCAATGTATAATTTTTACCCAAAATATTTTCTCATTTGTTTTATAGAAAATCCTTATGTCACCATTGAAGGGCAGAATGCTGAGAATCGCGGTCAGYCTCCTTCACAGCCATGAAGGACATAAGTTTTTATGAGAGTCAGACTTTTATGTGAAAATCTACATTTTATTAATGAGACTTCAAGGTCAAGTCAAATATTGCTGTTTACTGCTCATCAAGAAAAAAAAGAATTCAGAATTGCCTCATTTTGTAATTTCTTAATCAGGAAAAACATGTTAAGTAATGTGTGAATTGTAACTTTCTTCTAAAGCAATATCATATACACCAACACCGATTTACTAGATTAAAAACAATTTTGTGTCATAAATCGTCTTGAAATATTAAATTATTCTAATTAATAATAAGTAGTAAAGGCTGCACCGCGAACACCTGGTGAGGGTTCGAGGAGAATCGAGGACCGCTTGATTCGAGGACCGCTTGATTCGAGTRAAATAATTTTATTAATACATTCAGTGACGTCGCCTATTCAGTTGAATAGGATGAGGTAAAATATGATATATTCCGTGACGTCACCTATTGTTCGCCATATCAATAGTTTACAATTCAAAACAACCAGTAAAAATAAAAATTCATATTTCAAGCTAAAAAGATTGAATTTAGAATGATATGATATATTTTCAATATGAAATCAGTTAATTTGAACAAAGATAACTGATTAAAACAATCATTCTTTAAAAACACKCAACTTTTTTCATCAAATAATAATATCATGAATTAAGTAAGATAAATAAGAAGACAAATATAAATTCCATAAAATGGTTTATTCAGAAAAAATAAAATTGCAAAAAATATTACATAAAACAATACTTCAGTCATGCACAATGTTTTTTCATCCAAGGCTCAATAAACGTTGCTGTCCTTTTGAATTCTAAAACGTTTCTTCAACTCGAAAGTTAGTTCACTTTTCTTGCTTGAGATAAGTGCATTATACCCTGCGAGCAGAGTGTATTTCCTTACCTCAATAAAAATTCGCGAAGGAAAATTTTCCTTCGCGAATTTTTATTGAGGTAAGGAAATACACTCTGCTCGCAGGGTAAGTGCATTAATTTCATCAGAATGTTTCTGAAGATTTTGCCATTCCAGGGGAACGAGAGCAACCCCTTTATCTGTTGGGACGCCATCTTCAAACTTGCGAATGTGGATGCGAGGCGGATTTTTGAATTCTGATATGAAAACAAAGAAGRAACGGTGTCCAATGGGCATAACTTTTGAAACAAGTTGTTTGCGGGCTTCTTTTGGCTTTTCTAATAGTTCTTCAGTCGTAGCTAGTTGATCATTAATTTCTCCAGGTTTATCCACAAGTTGATACCATTCTTTCGTTGTGAGAGCGATTCCATTCCTGGTAGACCTATCCTGGTAGTAATTTCGCACATGAACCATAATAAAACTGTTGAATTCACTGACGGTAGCGAAGAGCTATCACCAACACCAAGCGAGATTCTGTCCATGTTTGAATTATTGAGAACAAGCGATAGGGTTTCAAGTGTTGAACAAGCTTTAAAAATGAAAGGACAGCTGAGAATGCAAGGGCATATGAATACGCACCCTATCAAAAATCAATTTTCTTTCGATCGATTTCAATAGTTTCTTTGTTTCTTTTGAGTATGTGAATGGTTTCCATAGAAATGTTTGTAGCGGGAAATTCAAATCCCGATATTGAGCTGAATTCTGAGCAGCAAAACTTTGCGGTGAGAAAAAATAAAAAACTTTCTTTCTGCGTGAATTAAAATCCATCCTCGGGAACCCAGGGGTTATCTTCTGTCGTTCGTTCCTAGAAGATAACCCCTGGGTTCCCGAGGATGATTAAAATCAAACCCTTCTATTAATTTAATTTTCCTTCTTTTTTTTAGCATGATGTAGAATTCAGCTTTGACGCGATTTCAACCCAAGATTTAGTAGGTTACAAACAAATTTGACCCAAACAAGTTTTTCAGAGATACTTTTGGTGTTGACTACGACCAGGCAGATGCAAGTTTTCAATGAATTTTATTTTAACTAGACGCATAGCTGCGTGAACTCGGGGTTCCGCTTGAATATATCATAAAACGATGAAGTGACAACAATGAGTGTTGTAGTCGAAGAATTGAGAAGAATTGGACTATATTGAACCTTAATAAAGTTAATAGTCATACTATCAAAAGGCGTAAAGCAAAAAATACTTCCTGGAATAAAAAATAATAAAAAAACAGTGTACTCAGCATAAATATCATGAAAAAATTGATCATCAGCAAGCCGGTCTTTGATAGTCACATGACAGGCTGTAAACACAGAGTCTTTTATCTTCTCCGCTCTTCCATTCGTCGGCTTTTCCTCAGAAGAATCTGTTCGCATTCCTTAGACGAGACCTTAGTAGTTTCAGAGCCTGCATAAGTTCGTATACAGTTCGCTTGTGCTAAGATAGGTAGCTTGTTTGATAGACAATTCTCGATAGACTCGATCTCGATAGACAGTAAGATAAATTCTCGATAAATTTACGTTATCTTCTGAAATTCCTTTTTCGGAAAAACGCTGGTCATATTTTAGTGTGGCTATGCCACGAAAGTGTGGATATTTTTAAGTGATTTGAGCGTATTTGTAGACGTTGAATTTCTGTCTTCTTCCACCTCGCGTATTACAGTCTCGCCGACTATTCTCGTCGGTTTGCACATGAAGTCATCAGTCGAAAAAAATTCTAAAATCACAGACACACAACATTAAAGTACTAAAATACCTTGAAGANNNAAGGGTAAAGCAAAAAATATTTCCTTGAATGAAAAATAATAACAGAAGCAATGTAGTTAGCATTAAGGAAGAATTGATAGTCTTTGTCAAGCTCTCCTCACTTTGATAGTCACGTGGCAGGCTATAAAGACAGAGTCTTTTATCCTCTCTGCTAAATAAAATAGTTGCAATCGTCGGTTTTTCCTCAGTGAATTCTGTTCGCATTCCTTAGAGAAGTCCTTTGTATTTTCAGAGCCTGTAGAATCAGTTAGTATAGAGTTCGCTTTTGATAAGATTGGTTCGAATTTCACGATAAGTTTCACGATAAATTTCAAGATAAATTCGCGGTATCTCTCAAAATGCCCTTTCGAAAAACGCTCGACATCTTTTAGTGTGGCTATACGGCGAATGGTGTGTGGATTTGTAAGAGATTTGAGCGTGTTTGAAGTTGAATTCATGTCTTCCATCTCGTATAAAGACGACACCTCGACGACACCATAAGATAGCACATGGAAGTTGTGAATGTCACATGATGCGTACCCAGTGCATTCTAATTTGGCCGAGACGATTTGTGTACCAAATGCGACTGCGACTACCATGACAGCCGAAACCTAAACTCGGCGGTTCCACAGGAACCCCGAGTAACAATACTTCAGTCATGCACAATGTTGCTGTCCTTTTGAATTCTAAAACGTTTCTTCAACTCTAAAGTTAGTTCACTCTTAGTCTTGCWTGAGATAAGTTCATTAATTTCATCAGAATGTTTCTGAAGATTTTGCCATTCCAGGGGAACGAGAGCAACCCCTTTATCTGTTGGGACGCCATCTTCAAACGCGAGGCAGATTTTTGAATTCTGATACGAAAACAAAGAAGGAACGGTGTCCAATGGGCATCACTTTTGAAACAAGTTGTTTACGGGCTTCTTTTGGCTTTTCTAATAGTTCTTCAGTCGTAGCGGCTAGTTAATCATTAATTTCTCCAGCTTTATCCACAAGTTGATACCATTCTTTGGTTGTGAGAGCGATTCCATTCCTAGTAGACCTATCCTGGTAGTAATTTCCCACATGAACAATATAATAAAACTGTTGAATTCACTGTTAACATCAAGACCCTATCGCACTTCCTTCATCCATATTGACTATTCCTAATTAAATAGACCTAATCGGCTTCAACACAATTCWAACCACCCGGGAGTACATTTCATTGTTCGTTGTATTTTCATTTCACAGTTGAATTCTTAGAAACAATTTTTTTTCCCCCGCAGGATTTGAATTGGGTGGCAACGTGCATAGCAACGCCGTTATTCGATTGAATCATAGTTATTGAATGTGYAATTCGGCGGAATATCTCCGAAATTGCTCGCTTTCTCGGCGATTCATGTTCGATATTCTTCGAATACCTTCGTTACTTTCCGTGATAGTTGGGCTTCCTGTAAACACTACAAATATACTATCCATTTTGACTCTTCTTAAAATTCCATCAGCGCAAGCCTAATTAGCCTCGAATCTATGTGCAAATTGATCGGTTATTTTAATATTTTCTATCTTATGAACGAGGGTATATTTCCCCGCGCTTGTTTTGGAACTTAAGAATAGTCAATAGGACAAAGAAATCAAGTACAATTTAATTTCTTGAAAGAGACAAGTATCACGTCTCTAAGTCCTCGATGGAATAGGAAGGAGAACATCAGTATGGTAACAAAATCAGGTCAGCTATCGTCCCTTTACTGGGGCATTTACTGGAAAAAAAAAACTACATTTACTGACATTTGCAAGACTTGTAAGTCATCGCCTTTGGGAACATAGCGTTATCCTCCGAGAGGCCATTTTATTATGTAAAATGTTTTCTCTATTTTTTTKAAGCATTTTTTCCACTTTTTTCAAAAAAGGTGTCCTCTTCAGGGGACGCTAGTTAGCTTACATATTTTTGAGATGGTATGTTTTCCCAATAAGTATTGTTTCCGGCTTTATGAAACACTGAAAACCTCCTAGTCTCCTCGCAGCCGTGTTTAGTAGTTTCGGTCACGCGTCACGCAACCTCTCCAGAGACTAAAAACCTCCCAGATGTAGGGGARAAACTCCTAAGCATTAAGCCGGTTTCTCTAGGCAGTGAAGTGGGCATTTGAGAGTACTATATGATTGATTAAAGTATAAAATAATATACAGCGGCTAAGCGACAAACTGCTGCTATAATTATCGCTAACCATCACTGTCTGATTCAGGGACGGACCCAGCATTTTATAAGGGGGTGCTTTTGTCAGTAATATATAGACTATATAGCTAAAAACTAAGTATACCAGATAGAACTGATCATTTTGATTATAGCTCTGTATCGTCTAGAGCAAGAAAATTATGCACAATTTGACCGAAATCAAATTGACTTTTATTGTAGCGGACCTCCCGCGCGGGCCGAAGGCCCGCGCGAGCGGAGCACCATAACTAAGGAAAAATGGTAAAACCCATAGGGTTGAGTTTTGATCAACCGACACAGGAAGCCCAGTTGTCCTTCCGTACGTCCGTCCGTCCGTCCGTGTACATCGCGATTCTGATTGGCTACTTTTGAGAAGGCGGGAAAAGGAAGCGCGCTCGCGGAGTGTTGAAACAACTTTTTCACCACAACGACGACACAACGACTCCATTTTTGTCCTTTGAAATACTTTACTTCTGCGCCAAATGTCGGAAAATCAACGGGTAAATAACGGAAAGCGATCTTTATCTGAAGAGGAACAGACAAGAAGAAGAGAAAGAGAGCGTCGAAGAAGTCTAAGTGAAGAACAACGCAGGCTTGAAAGGGAGAGAAAATGTGATAGACGAAACAATTTAATAAAGACTCAAGCAAATCGAGAAACAAGTGAACGCCAAAGACAACGATTATTGAGGGAAAATTTCTCATAAGAGAACTGACATATTCTCCGACGATACCGTGGCGTTATTAGACAAATGGCGGTATGTTAGATTATACGTGCAAGCGGTTTTTGGTGCTCAATTATATCAATTCTTCTACTTCAAGAACCTTRGGCAGTTTTAGTCTGGTTTAAATTTGCTTTTGAATTTGAAAATCTTTACCTGATACACTTCAAAACTTCTCAATTAAATGAGCTTGTTGACAATKAAAATATRTGYKAATTGTGTGTACATTCTATCCACAATAATAATCTTGTTTGAAAAACTACTCGGATGTTTTAATAAGTATAAGCTTAAAACTATGCATTTTGAAAAGAGAGCCTTGATATTATTTAAATGTTCAGATTTTTACTCTTTATTCTTCAATAAACTCTTTAATGCAAACTGTCAACAAATACAGAGAGCAAAGATAAGCAAAGAATTTGAGAAGTTGAAAAATGGATAATCATTATGAACATTAAGCTTATGATTCCTTTAATTGTTTACAAAACTGTCAAAATGTATTATCATTTATGATCACTGTATGTCAAAAATGTATTGAGGTAATTAGTGTCATTCCTGGGTGATTAAATTATTAATTTATTACGTATGTTTCCTGTATGATTGAAAAACCACCAAAACTGTCAAATTCAAATGACCCATAAATCATTGAAGGACGCGGCCTGCTTGCTCCATTTTTGTGGTTACTCCGTCCCTAAGGGACGGAGTACCCACTATGTTATCGCGCGATGTAAGATAGTCCGATAGTCTGCAACAACCCAGAGTAGGCGCGATGCAGGGTGACAATATGCAAAATAGAATTATGTCATTTTCCGATGGGTTCACGACAATACAGCGGAACTTCCGACCGCTGTTCGGATGTTTTTACGATAACACAGCGGAAATGCCTCGTGCGAAGTCAGTCAAAGTCTGCATGCTATCGGTGAGTATCTTGTTCTTTTATCACGTTTTTGCTCTTTATTTATCACAGCTTTCATTCTACATTATCGGTAGCAATGAAAAGTGTTTGCTTAAGGACGTTCGAAGGCATTGCTACTGCGCACGCTTTCTGCGCACGCCAAAACCGGAAGTTGTCACAAAATTGCATCACGCAAAACAAAGATGGCGACCGCTCTTGTTATGTGTTTGTGAGGTTTTGTACGKACTTTTCTGAACTTCTACTTGTATGCAAAATGTCTTCACGTTCAAAAAATGGGAGATTTACTACWKYTAAAGAATTGATGAGGCGAACAAGTGTTCAAAATGCTCTAAAAAGTCGTAGATTGGCAGAAAAAAGTCTCTCGCAATTAAAGATGGCCTGCAAAATCTTAGATTTCGACACGAAATATCTCGACAACGAACCCGGTAACCCCAATTTCTATTCATCTTAAAAGAAGGCTACTTGGAAAAAATGTAACATATGTGAAAGCGGAAAAAACGACATCAGAGGTTTCTGAAATATAGCAGTTTTAGCTGGAAATGACACCTCTTCTKGACGTCGAATGTGGCRGSTTGACACCGACAAAAATCCTAAAGAAATCACAAATCACATCTTGTAATGTTTCAAAGTCATCTAAACAATATTAACAATTGTCGACCTCAGCTTTTGTGGAAAAATTTGGATCAATTTATATGTGTTTTATATTTTTCGAGAACTTTTTTGGCAGACGGCATCGACCCATTTCGCGCGCTTTTCTTTGACAATTTTGGTGATTTTGTGCAAGAATGATCTCTAAAATGAAGCCGGTGACCTCCACTTTTTTCTCGCTTTTTTGCAAGTTTATGTCATCGCGTATTTCCCCAAAAAAATTCATCGAAGTGACATCACGGAGTCCAATGTCCTTAATTGTTTTTCAGCGTTTAACTCGCTCCTTACGGCGAATTAACCGGTTAAATCCATACTTGATGGTCAACGAAGCCGAAAGCATGTTCTCGCCAATCATGGACAACAACACTAAAAACGAAACAAATACTAAACAAACAGCAATCACAAACGAAACAAAGACGAAGTGTAACACCCTTTGTGGGAATACTGACCCTCGTAAGAGGACAATTGTTCACATTTATGTAAATACTGTACATAATGCATATTGTAAATACGTTTGGATTTCGTTTATTAAATTGTTTATAAGTATACGTTCAAATCCTTGTTACTTTATATTTTCACCTTACACGCCCAGCAGCCAATCTGCATAACGTACATGTACACTCATAATTGCAATCCACTGCACAATTTTTATGTGAAATGGGATCAGAAGTCTACACTTKTTTGGGACCAGGATTTTTGCCTTTCGAGTCACGATCAAAGAAGCTGGGATTTGGAGTTTTAGATCAGGGGTCACAATGATCTTGCTCAAAAAAATAGATCACCAGTTAAAAAAACACGGAAAACCCATAATAAACACTTTCCTTCCAAAGTTATACGCATCACTAATCAAATTGTACGACGCATTTCTAACTAGTAGAAATTGACTAAAACCCATTTGCTCCTCAAACATCAAATACAAAGTGATTAAAATCACTTTGTAAATCTAGTACTGTTGGAGTAACCACATGCGCTCTTTGAGCGCCTTTAATTCACCTTTAGACCTCGAGAGTGCTGTGTATGAACTATGGTTGTACATTTAATATTACAGTTTTCACAAAATCAATATCAAATGTTTAACTTTAATATTGGGATAAACATTCTAATATGACTGGACGATGATATTTGTTGAGATATTCTTAGACGGCATCTATCTACATTTCAAAGAACGATCTTCTCTACCCTACGGTTACATAATGCTTGTGATTACAAAAGTTTTCACGTCCTTTGATTAAGACATAATGTATATTTTATATTTCCCTTAGTTCTGCTTAAGTTTACGTTTCCTTGATTTTATTAGAGGAAGAATAACAAAGGGATAAACAACCAATAACCAGGCCAGGACTATTAGAAGTGGTATATAATAGGCTTGCATAAATACCTACAAAACAGAATAATACTGTTATTGATGCCATCATAATACACACATAATTGCAAACATTGTCATAGGAAAATCGGAAATTTTTGTACAGCTAAAATTCTTGTATCGCGACCTAGACGTTTTGTGCTCTGTATAGTCAAATGCATTTAAAATATCCTAATTTTAGATATATTTATATAGAAACCCTCTTGGCTACCGATCAAATTTTGTGTTCAAATAGTTCAAATGAAGTTGATTGATTGTTGACATTCGCCAAAGTCGAGGAAAAAATCATAATCCTTACTAACTTCAAGCCTTTGAGGTTGCGTTGCAAAAGTTTTCGCTGTAAAAAAGGTGAGGCAAGTTGCTAAAAACATTGCACAGTGTAACGGCATCTTAGGTGTGTTAAAATATGATGTATGTAGAGTGCACGCCAAAAAAGCATGAAACAATTCTTAACTATCAACATCTAATAAGATTTAGTTATCAACTAACTAAGAATTCACTGGGGCATGAACACAATGCCAGAAAGGAAACTTGTCTTTGTTTATGCCTCACTAAATTCTTAGTTAGTTGATAACTAAATCTTATTAGGCGCTAATTACTTAAGAATTGTTTCATGCTTATGTGGCGTGCACTCTAAAATATGATATGATATMTTTTTTAGCCATAATCAAAAGATGCATATATATTTTCAGCGAGTCTAGATGACCCTTGACAATGATTCCATGACTTCCCAGGCCTGGAAAACTGAAATATGTAATTCTATGAATTTCCTGTACAAACCCTAACATAGTGGTAGTTTTGTTGGTATTTGGCTGTAGTTGGTGTTTGGTGGTTGAGTAGATAGTGGTTCGTTATAGTATAGTGTGTATACGTTGTAGTTAATAGTTTGGTTGTTGGATGGGTAGTGGTTCTATTGTGGTTAATAGTCGTGGTTAGTAAAAAAGATGAAGTATCCTTGTCCAACATAAAGTACTCGTCATATAAAAATGTAAATTTGCGACAGCATACTTTATCAACGCTACACACAACCACAACAACAATCATTCGTCAAGTTTTTGCATACAGCTTTTCAAACTACAGTTCCTACACGAATTCCTTACCTTGTGTATTAGATTAAAATGTAAAAGGGCCAATGGAAGAGAACCATATCCTAACATAAACTGCTTTTGTAAATACATTAGTGGTATTACAAGGCATCTGAGCCAGAAAGGAAATTCGGTGACCTTTTTCCATCCAAATCCTTCCCAAGCATTAATAACCTGGAGAGAAACATTAAGTTATCATCATATATTTACCCATGAAATAAAAATATTCCTCATTTCAAACTTGTTATTTTTTACTAGTGACAGT